AGGCGAGGTCGCCTGGCCCCGCCCCTCACGGCACCACGCGCGGCGACGTCCTAGGTCCCCGCTTCCGCCCCTCCGCGGGCCAATCAGGAAACGGCTTCGAGGGAGCGCGCGAGGTTTCCTTCCCCGCGCACCCGTTCTCACCGTGTAACGGCTGCGTCTCGCGACAATCCCAAAGTGACCTTTTCCCCTCCTCCGGAGTTCAATGCGCGCTAGGGGCAGTGGGAGGGGCAGAACTGGCGAAGGAGGTGGGTGGGAAGGACACGCACCTCTTTCCCCGCCTTTGCGCGTCCGGGCCGGATGCGCGCGCACCTGCTTCCCTAAGGAGCCGCTATTACCACAGGGGCTCTTTCAACGCTGCCTGAGGCCGTAGAAGTAGCCTGGGCATTCTTCCGCCTCCAACCCGGCCTCGCTTCCCTGTCTCTGGCCTTTATGTCCCCAGCGCCGCCAGAACTTGCGGGGAGAAGGGAAATTTTTTTGAGCTGTCGCTTCTCCTTTAAGAAAAAAAGCTCCGTGGGCTGCCGGATGAAAGTCTCTGAAAAAATGGCGGCGGCGGCACGGAGGCGGGGTTGTGGGCGCTGCGAGGGCACGCCTTTCGGCGCATGCGCATGGGCAGCCTAGCCAAGAGCGTGCTGGGAAGTGAAGTCCTAGCTACCAAAACCAGAGGCAGAGGGGACGCCGGGAGTTTGCGGCCTCTCCCTCCACGGGAAACGTAGTTCCTCTCTGCAGTAGGGGGTGTTTCGGGTTAGGCCGGACGCTGCTTGCGTCGGAGCGCATGTGGAGCCAGTTGCTCGCCTGGATGACCTGGGGGGGCGTAATGCGACTTTTTCGTCGTTTTTACTTGGCATCGTCTCCGCTTTCCCGGGGTGGCCGCATCACAGTCCTCGTTGACCTTGGTGGCGATCCGTGCCACCTCTGCGACCGACCGGCTCCTTCGCTTGGCACTCTGGGTCTGACCCTGTCCCAGGACCCCGAAGCGCGGGACCCGAGTCAGCTTCCGCGGGGTCTGCAGGCGGAGCACGGAGCCCACCACGTAACCCTCTCGTTGGGAAACAGTGGGACGAGCTGACACGCTGCCTCCCTGCCGGCTGCCCGAGCCCGAGGAGCGGCAAGGGTGTCAGCGTGACTCGCGTGACTCGTCGCTCCCTGCTCCCCGCCCGCCAGCTTCTGCGGTTTGCGCATGTTTCTGCAGCGCAGGAAGCGCGGTCTGCGGAGCAGCGTTGTCAAAAATGACTTTTTTGCCCACTACCGTTCAACTAAGTTGTCTTGCTGATGTGTCAAAGGGAGTTTCCATCTGCTAGCTTCTTGCCACTGGGCCGTGCTCTAGGCCTCTCCCTTTCCTTTCTTTCATCCATTATAATCATGAGAAAACATGAAAATAATATATATATATTTTTTACCTCTGCAGAATAAACTGTCTGGAATTAAAATCTCCAGAAGGAAGACTGGGAACAAGATACCAAAATCCAATTCTAAATTTCACATTAATATTGAACTGAGCAACTGCTGAAGTACATTTTTCTTTCCAATATTTTGACTCAATTGCTGCTTCAGAATAGGCAAATGTTTTATATTCTGTACTGCGTTTTACACTTTCACAGGGCTAAAGTCATTTTTAGTTGCAAAAATTGTTTGACACAGTGGCAATGGGAATTTTTCCAAACTTTTCAATGAGCAGACTTTTGGAACAGCACTGACATCCAATGGCTGCTTAAAGTAATACAGATGTGGAATTAAAAAAAAAAAAAAAAAAAGGCTGTAGGAGATTTAATTGAATGGGAAATGAAAGGTTAAAAAAAGCGCCAATGCATTTTATAGGAAAGACGACGGGTTTTCACATTCAACAAAAGCACAGATTATAGTGGTAGCAGAGCTGCCTATTCTGTTATTTTAGGAAATTATTCCTTGAGCCTATTTCACCTCTGTTAAAAACAGGATAAAATATATTTCGTGGGCCGTTACTACAGTTCTTTAAATACTGTCTGCTCACAGAGGCCTTTTGTAAATGCTTTATTTTATTCAAGATGAATAATTCACAGTGGTAAAATAGGTTAATTAACCTCAGTGTCACTTTTTGCAGAAAGTTCTACAAGGCCATACGAATAGGCAAGGATTACACTTAATTCACGTCAGCTTTAGCATCTAGAACCTGAAATTTTCGTTTTATTCTTCCGGCCCACGGATGTTTTTATTTTAGGACATTGAATAAGCCAGTACCTAAGAATCTGAACGCAAAACCACGTCCACCCTGCTTTTAAAGGACTTACAATCTAAACAGGAAAGCAACTAAGCGTAATTTCTGAATAAGTAAGTAAAGATGCAAAATGAACTGGGCGCTGGTTAACCGTGATGGGAACTTTAAGGGGAGTATGCGTCTATAGGCCTCCACTTTACAGGAATAAGGAAGGCAGAAGCTTAGTCGCAGTGGGATAGCTACACTTGGGAAAAAAACCACAAGTGAAAATCTGGCCTTTCCATGAATTCAACATGAATTCTGGAATATGGTAGGTGCTCAAATTTTTTAAACTTTATTTTGAATCTTTATTACCCTGACTCATGTACACCACAATTTAAATCTCATGGCCTACTTTTCTATACCAGTCTCGTTAAAAACTGTGACATACCCCCCCCAATTCAAAAGCGGAAGTGCTGAGCAAATACAGGAACCAAAAAGGGTTATAGAGGCTGCTTTGCACTGTCTCGTTCTGTTGCTTTGCAGTCGTCCTCTTCATTTTAAAGCCGCTCTTCACAACGTGTGGGACCCGGGCATCTTAGGCGCATTGCGATGGAAGAGTTGGGTGAGTGAGGAGCTTCTTGAAGGAACTCTGAGTGAAGACATGGCGACCATCTCCATGTGTGGTGGGACGTGCTTAGATTCAGACTGAGGGTAGTGCTGGAAGGTTTTATTTTTACTTCTATCCTCAGCTGAACCTTGAGTAAGACAGGAGGAGCTATGATTGTTTGAAGGAACTCAGTTCGCTGTTTGCAGTGGTGCAATAGGCCGAGAGCAGGATGCTAACCATACAATAAATTCTCCGAAAAGTGCTTTTGCACTGAATTGTGATTAAAATTGTTTTATTATGGTCATTTGTATTTGCTCCCTTGGGGGCTACTGGAGATCGTAGGGTGACTACGCACCTAGCCAATTGTGACTTGGGGAGAGCATGTAAGAAAGAGGAGAGAAAGGTGGTTAAAGAGGAACAAAAGTGGAATAGAAGTAGAAAAAGGCTCTGCACAGGTTGGAGGAGGGCCAGAGTGATTTCTTTTGTTCTGTGGTCTAGGATTAAATCAAGAAGACGTAGGAGTTCCAGTGATTATTTGCTGAGCTTTTTATTCAGAATACTGAAAGAGCAGATTTCTATAGCCTAAAAATATAATGCCACCTTCCACTTCAAGGCAATTTTGAAACGAGTAGTTGGACTGCTGGCTACATTACTCCACACTTTGGGGTAACGTTTATCATTCTTGGACCTCATTATGTAGATGTTGCTAAAGTTTTTGTTGCTGGCATCCTAAGCTCCAGTGACTAACTTTTCCTGAATTTTCTAGCTGTTTTAACACCCCCCCCATGTTCCAGGTTTGTGTGTGTTCGTAGATAAGAGTACAAACAACAACAACCTAGCTGTGCTTTGTCTTGTTTTGATTTGAGAGCTGGAGAAATAGAGGAAAGAAAAAGACAAATCAAGAGGAAAGAGCTGTTGTTAATGAGGAGAAAGAATTGGTGTTTAATGAATACTTATTTTGGAAGTAAATTAGGTTAAATTCTATTTTGGAATTAGAGTAGAATCCGAAGTCTTACCCTTACTGCGTAGTGAGGAATTTGCATCTTGAGTTTTACCAGGGTCTAACTTTCTTTTTAGGAATACCAAACTTCATGTAGAACATTAAGAGAGAGCTGATACTTATTCAATGACATAGTCTAAAACTAGATAGTTTTTTGTTGTTGTTGTTTCTTTTCAGTATTGGTGATCAAACTCAAGACCTAGAACCACTGAGCTACATCTGGGCCCAAAACTAGTTTTGCTCTTTGCAGCCATCCTGCAAGTAGGTATTATCCACTTTTTTTTAACATGAAAAAAGCAGGCAAAAAAAAAAAATCACATGTCCAGTGTTACTCTGGTGTACCTGACACCAAACCCAATTACACTTCAAGGTGTTCTGCTTTATTAGAAGTGTGTTTGCTCAGGGGTTCTGGACAATGGAATCATGATGCAGCTTTAAAGACTTGAGTACTTTTGCATTTTCTGAGCAGGATGCATGTCACAGAAATCTTTTCCAGAGACGTAGAAAGTGCCAAGTACCCTGGAAGCTAACATTTCTGTAGATTATCCCGTTGACTACATCTCAATAGGCTGTTGATGTCTACACTTTGCCTCAAATTATCAGCCCAGTGACTATTGTCAAGTCTGGGGAGGATTTCTTTCCTACCTACAAAGACATAGCATGGAGGAGAGGATGGCTTGGGCAAATGAACTTTTCCTCTCCACAGTATTGCCTTGAACGTTAACAGATTGGATCTGCCCACAAGGTTTTATCTGGAAGTGCTTTACATGAGGAGGAGCAGTAAGAAAGCCCCGGAGCAGGCTTCCGCTCCACTGAAATCCATACAATCCAGACCGTGGAGACCCCCCCAAGAGCGCGCACTACGCTCCTTTCTTGTGAATTTGGTATTTGATTTTCACAGGTGAAGCATTAGGGAGGACAGCAGTTTTCAGGCAAGTACTACCCTGCCCCAGTAATCTCATCTATCACACTGGGATTAGTCATCTTCAAATTACAGAATCTTGCAAAAGACATAACCTCAAGGTGCTGATGATGTGCATTCATAGAAATAGGAAGCTGAAGACTGGTGAACTCATGATCTTAGAAAGGACAGTTTTAATAACTTTGCTTAGCTGACGATTCTGAGAGTGACTCTGAACTCTTTGTGGTATGATCTCCCCCTTGCCACAATGTTTACCTAAATTGCTTTTTATTAGTCAAGGAAGATCTGTGACTTCTCGTTCCAAAGAAACCTAGAAAAAGAGAAAAAGTTTCTATTTTAAAGAAATACGGAATAAAAATATAAAATTCTGAATTAAAAGTTTTACTTTCTTAGTTTTATTTTTCCTTTCTTAAAAAAAAGTTTTATAGAGTTTTAAAACATAATGGAGAAAATAGTTCAATGAAATCTGATGAACTCCTCACTATTGACCAACCATGAACTCTTGACCAATTTTATTTTCTACACCTTCTTCCATTCTTGTACTGTTTTATAACAATTTCAGATATTACATTATTTCATCTGTCAATATTTTAGCATTAACCTCTAAAATAAATATATATTTATGCAAATAACTACAATATGAGCATCACGTCCACAACAGCATTAGTAGAAATTCCTCAATATCATGAAATACCATTACCACACCTAAAAACTAATAGAATCACAATATTTTCAAATAGCATTATCACACCTAAAATAAATTAACTTCTTAATGTTGACTAGTCAATATTCTTGATTTCTTGATCATTTCATTTTTTTCAAGCTTAGTGATCTACATAAGCCTTATATATTGAAATTAATTATTAGTCTTTTAGTGTATTAATCTATAGCCCCCCTTCCATCACTTTTACACATTACAATTTATTCATTCAAGGGTAATTGGATCTGGACAATTTAGCTCAAATTGCTTAACTGTAAAATGGTGTATAAAAATCAACATTTCCGTGGTATAGATGAGTGAGAAAGTTCTATGAAGATTTTATTTGTAAATATGATTATATCTTATGCCATTAAGAAATACCCATCCTCCCCAAATTTGAAATGAATGTTTATTTGAATATTTGAAATAAATATTATTTGGCTTATCTGAGATCTTCAGAGCAGGAAAGGTCTTTAGACATAATATAATCCAGTGTTTTGTAAATTTAAAAACTAATCTGTGGTAAAAAAAAATCCTTCTGGGTCTTGACTCACGACTGAAAATACTGTTCTAAAGCAGAGAGTAGTCACGCACAAGGGGATTCAGGGAACCCCCGTGAGAATGGGGACTGCCACCTCAAACCTCCAGTTGTGCAGGGGCTGCCATCGGACAGCCCAGACTCAAGTCCTGGGTCTGCTCCCCCGAGCTGATGCACCTTAGTTTGTGTCTCTTTGTTAATCTACAAAATCAGAACAGTAGTATCATTTGCCTCAGAAT